GGCGGAGGAAGAGGGCGCCGGAGCTCGGCAGGAACAAGGCCACGATCAAGGGCAGAGTCGTGAAGTCGGCGATAGGTGAGTCCCGGCCCCCCTCCGGGGGAGGGGGAAGCAGCTTTGCCGCCCTTCACAGCCCTCGCTCCGGGTCCCCTGGCGGTGCCCCGCAGCCCTTCTCCATCCCTTTGTATCTATCCCTTCCTATCCTCCTGGGTGCCCTTCTGGTGTCCCCCACCGAAACACAGCCTGAGCTATGGAAGCACTTCTGTGCCTCAGCTGTAGCAGTGTGTCTTTCTCCCGGGGCCTTGCTGATCCCCCTGTGTCTCTCCTTGTCTGCTGCCTGGATGAGCAGCTGATGTGTTTTGTCCCACTCTGCTCTGACCTAGAGGAGTATCACAAGAAGAAGGCTGTGAATCACTTGAGAGCAAACTTGCAGTACATGCTGAAGGGGCGATTTGTTGCAAACAAAGCCATCACAGAACAAGTAAGTCTGTCGCTTCTTTGGGAGTCTGCTTCTGCTGAGGAACACGGGTGAATGGGAATCATCCCCACATCTTCCAGCTTAGACCCTGTACAAAGAAGTTAAGTCCAGTTTTTGTCTGGAAGTGGCCTTGAGGAATTTCTATGTGCACTGGCAAAGCAATTTACTAAGCTTTAAGCTCTTTTTGATATGTTGTCCCCTATGATGTTCTCTGTTAAAATCCACTGACAACTGTTGGCTTTTCTTAATTACCAAAGATATTTCATAGCTTCATCTGGCAAAGAAGCCCTGGTTCAGACCTTCTCCTTACTGTTGATTGATTTCTCCTTCTCTGTAGCTGAAGGCTGTTTAGCAAGGAACCATGAAAAGCATGTGCTGCTGCTTCATGCTGTAGGAATTTCATAGCATCTTGAATGATGTTTCTCATAACCTGAGAATTTAACCAGTGATCTTCCCTAGAAGGTAGTCCTGTGCCAGGATTTGAAGAGAATAGCTGACACAGCTAGAATCTTGGGCTATTTTTATGAGATACAGGCTTTTAACTTACATAAACAAACCAAGTGGTTTAGGCTAGTGTTTCTCAAGTTGGAGTTTGTGAAAGGAGGTGATGGTGTATTAGAAAATGCCGAGGGAATTCCACCAACTTGTTGGCGTTTCAGGTTGTCTTGAGGAGAGGCATGATAAAAGAAGGTCACAGTTTCAGAAATGTCTGAATTGAAATCGGTGTTTCTATCTTTGTGACAATTACCAGAGAGTAGTTTTCATACTTGGCTCCAAAATAGTAGGTTGATACTTGCTGTTGTCCCAGTGACCTGCTTTGGTTAACATCAGTGATTGCCTCTCACTTTTCTTTGGTGGCATTCCAGGATATAGCAGGGTACCAGCAGAATAACAGGGATGGTGCAGGTGAGCTTGAAAATCACCGTTTTGTGGTTTGGTCTGGATAACAATGACTGTTGTTTTTTTCCTTTTTCATTGTCTGAAGGTTCTTGCTCAGAACAGAGGGAGGAAGTCCAAAGATCAGCCTCCAAAGAAGGCGGCAAAGAAGAAGCCCGAGGGCACTGTCTTTACTGAGGAAGATTTCCGTAAATTTGAGAGAGAATACTTTGGGAGACCATAAACGACATGGCAGGGATTCTTGCAGCTCCAGTCTTTCTGCGGCTGAGCGTTCACCACGTAGGACTGGCCGTTTCCTCAGCGTGTTTGAGATGGGACATAGGAGATGTGCCTCTGTCAGCAAGTGCTTTAATGTCACACTTGCAGAGCAGCTCTGCATCTGTGCAGAACTTGTTGCTGGCCAGCGAGAGCCATGGAGGTTCTCTTGGCTCTGACATGTATTGTCCTTATCTCCAGCCAACGTGTCTTGCATTTTTAATGTAGAAGGGTGGACCAAGCCAAATATAAATCTTGTTCCCCTTCCTCAGGATGTAAGGCTTCTGCTACCTGTGTTATTTGGCAGGAAGCATTTAAGGTACTGTATCCAAATGGAGAAATGGTTTGGACCAGCAGTAATGAATCATCGGAAGGGAAAGATGCTTTGAAAAGACTGTTAAACCTGAGTAGCCTTGCAGTTTCTGTTCTTATTACAGCCTCTGTCGGGTTTTTCAGTCATTCCCAAAACTTTGTATATGTTGTTTGATTAAATAACTGTTGCCGACACTGCCTATCTTTGCCTTTGTAATAGTGATTGTTATGACAGGCTACAACTGATGAAGACAAACCGTGTCACTGTTCTAATCCAAGCATCCCTCTCTTTAGGATGACTCAGTTGTGTGAGTGGCCTCTCTTGCTGATTCGTGTTGACATGTGTATTTAATCTGACGCGCTCAGGCCTTCAAAGAGTGGAGGATGGAATGGAGATGACTCCTCTTTTTACCTGTTCATGGTCTCCACTCTCCAAGGAAGAACTTTTACACGGAGAAAGTTGTCCTTTGGATGTTCATACCCGAGTCTCCCAGTGAGGTACCAGCCATGCTCGGAGGGCAGTGCTGCTGGGTGCTGCCAGCTCCTGTAGCCAGGAGGGGTTGTCACCCAGATGTTAGTCTTGGCATGAAGTTAAAATCTTCTGAGCTAGAGGTTGTGGTGCTGGGTTGAAGGGAATTACTTTTTTCTTAGACTACTGCTGCAACAAATAAAAGGCCCAGCAGGTGGGAGTGTTGTTCCAGACACTTCTTTGCTAAACTACTGTAAATATGCTTCTGGGGAGCTCCTGCCACTTCCCTTTCCTGCCCCTTACAGAGGAAGAGGGGAAGTGTGTTCCCCTTGGGGGGAAAAAAACCGGTAGGGAGGACTAATGCCAAGCTTCGGTTGGACTCAGGAGTTGATTACAAGGGGCCAGGCTGACCTGAGTGGCAGCTGTTTAGATGTCAGCACTGGAGGGAATTTGCTGTCCTTTCCCTGCCCTCTGATTGTAATTCCTGGTGCCGTCCTCTTAAGTCTGCGCTGCCTCTGTTGTGTTCTTTCCCTCGTCTGCATGGGAGGGAAGGTCACCCAGATGTACAAGGTCAAACCAGGGGAAATTGTGAACATACTGAAGTGTGTGTACTGGAAATTGTGTAATAGCACGTGGGAGGAGATTTCTTGTAATAGGGTCAAGTTCAACTATCTGCAGCCAAAAGTGGTAAATATAGAACAGTTCTGTGCTGGTTTTGGCTGGGGTAGGGTTGATGTTCTTCATATTAGCTAGTATGGGGCTGTTTTGGATTTGTGCTGAAAACAGTGTTGATAATAGTGATGTGTTCGTTACTGCTGAACAGCGCTTACACAGGGTCAAGGCCTTTTCTGCTTCTCACACCACCCTGCCAGTGAGTAGGCTGGGGGTGCACAGGAAGTTGGGAGGGGACACAGCCAGGATATTCCATACCATATGATGTCATGCTCAGCATATAAAGCTGGGGGAAGAAGGAGGAGGAAGAGGGGGGGCATTTGGAGTGGTGGCGTTTGTCTTCCCAAGTAGCGGTTACGTGTGATGGAGCCCTGCTTTCCTGGGGATGGCTGAACACCAGCCTGTCAATGGGAAGCGGTGAATGAATTCCGTTTTGCTTTGCTTACGTGTGCAGCTTTTGCTTTACCGTTAAACTGTCTTTATCTGAACCCACGAGTTTTCTCACTTTCACTCTTCCAATTCTCTCCCTCATCCTTTTGGGGGGGAGCAACGAGCAGCTGTGTGGTGCTTAGTTGATGACTGGGGTTAAACCATGACAAGTTCAAAGACCAATTCCCTTCTTTTTCAGTTGTTCTTGCTCCCAAAGTTAAAAAATATCTGTAAAAAAAAAAAAAAGACTGTTTGCTTCTTGAAAGAATGAAAACACTATTGTTTGAAAAAGTAGTTGAGCAAAATATGTATGCAGCACATGTCTCCCTACAACCTCTGCGCTCTGCCTGCTGCAGAGTGTGTGTGTGAGCTGGTCCAACACATGCAGCTCTATGTGAAGCTGTCATGGAGACAATTAACAGTGTCAAAAAGCTGGCTGTGCCACAAGACTTTTGAAAGCGGTGTGTTTCTGGGGTGTTATTTTGTTTTAGCCCTCATCCTCGGTACTTGGCAGTTCCTTCGACCTTACAGGGGTCCTTCATGGCACGCCCTGTGCCTCCTCTACTAGTTCCTCCTATGCACCCTTGTTTCTGTGGTTGTTCAGCTCCTGGGCCCTTCTTCTGCAGGCTGAAGAAAGCAAAACCATCCTTGTTGCTCCAGAAAGGATCACTAGGGTAATGTGGTTCACTCTCTCTGTACAAAACCCAGCTTGTTTGCTTGCAAATGTAAGCAAACACGAAAGCTGTTCTTTCGAAGTTAATGAGGAACTTTAAAGTGGGGCCCAGAGCAGTTTTCCCCCAGAATAACCCCCAATCTGTGGAGTTTTAAAGTTGGATGGGAGCTCTCACTACTGGCTGGAAAGACTATTAGGGCCAACACAAGTAATCAATGTACTTTTTGTGGCTATATGCAAAGAGCCATTGTATTGTTGAAGAGGGTAAAGGTACCTGACAGGCTGGATTTTGCCATCTGAAATGAAACTTGGTTTTACAGCCAACAGAATCCTTAAATAAATTAAACTTTATCTTGCGGGAGGAAAGTAAACTGAGCAGAAGTGAACGAGTGGCTCTAGACAAACCGTCTTTTGCAAGGGCAAAGATCTGACATGCTCTAGCCTTGATTTTCCACCTCTCTGGCAGAGCTGGAGCTCCTATGAAAGAACAGCAGTGCCACCTGCACGCTGGGTAGATAAGGACAGGAGCTGGCCCCTGAGAGGAATGTCTTCAAACTAGGGGGGTAAATAGGTACCAGCCTGTTGCATGTCCCTGGTGGTAAGCTAAAGCTAAGCGTCTTCTTACACTCCCACCTGCCTGTGTTATGGTCTAGCCATGCCTATAGCATGCCAGCTATATGCATCCTCGGCCGTGCGGGGACCCCGGGAGGAGGCCATCTTAGAGCAACTTGTGCCGTCTCTGTGTTCCTTGCAGCCAGACTCCGCTGCCTTATGGAAGAGCGAAAGGGGGTCAGGGAAGGAGCAGCTGCCATAGCTGCTTTTCCTACTTGGTCTCCGACCTCCGGTTCCCATGCTGGAAGCTAACACGCTGCAGCCCGCAACTCTTGGACCTGCCGGACGGCGTTTCTCTCCCACGCAGCTGCGAGCAGCGGTGCAAGGATGCATCCTGACACTGCGGGCTGAGGGCCACGTGCTGGCTGAGCTCATTGGGCTGCTGGCTCTCTTCCCAGCTCTGCGACACCGGCTGAGCATCCTGCAGCAGAAAATAGAGGCAGCTGAGATAGGGAAGAAGGAGGAGGGTGCCATCTTACAGTGCATCCCCACCCACATGCAGCGGGGAGTCAGAATGGGAGGCAGCAGCAGCTTTAATATAAATGCAAATAAAAGCTCTGGAGCATTATTAATGTGGCAGAACTTTTCCAGGGAAACGGTTTAGAGGAGGTAGAATAGTTCCCAGATGCTCAGTGTTGAGCTAGCTTGTGAATAAGATTCATCAGGCCAGTTAATGACCTATTGCTCCCTCGTTATATGAATGGAAGGCAAACAGGAAAATTTGTTCAGACGGGTACAAGGTAATGTAAGCTGATACAGCTTCTGCTGCATCAGCAGGTCTTTACTTCTTTAGTGTAGAAAGCAACAACAGCTAATATCAGCGTTATATGGGTATCGGGAGAGGGGAGGACTGCAAATGTAAATGAAGAAAATGTGTTTGCTCAGGACACTAACCAACTTTTTGCCTCTGAAATGACCTAGCAGTAACAAACCTGGCTGCGAATGAACAGAGACTGTAAAACTTGCTCAGGCAAACAAGACTCGAAATGCTGAAAAAGCTGTGGGGGAAAACCAGGAGGGGAGGGTCCTAAAAGCCTTTGGGAATCTCAGTCTCTGGTTTCTTTTTCATGACTGATTTCCCTATCAGTCTTGCCAGTGACCAGTGTGACATCAGCACCTACGACACTGTTGGGCTCCTGAACGCCTCGGGTAAGGGGCTGGTTATTGTAGAAAGGGTGCACAGCAGCAGCACCCCGAATAGCTCACAAATGAAAAGTTACAGCAAAAGGAAGTTTCTCATTTTGAGACAAGACGACCCATCAGTTCAATTAAAAATGAGGAGTGTAAAAGGCGGCAGGCTGCCTAATGCCAGCTTACAGCTCAAAATGTGGAACTCCAGCCAAGCCAGGCTGAAGGGTTAGTAGGTTTGAGACGGATTAAAGGTTTGCATATCTATCCATAGTTACGTTAAATCGGATGAACAGTGCCAACCACTAACTGATGGGGGCAGGGGAAATAAAAAGCATGAAGGTTGCTCTGCAGCTGTCTACAGGGTTCCACGCACCTTTTTCTGAACGAGTTAGCTGTTGGCAGGGCTAACCAGTAATCTAGCCAAGCTGGTCTGTCCTGAGCTGTGCCGTTTGCGTGCCAGCAAGTTCATTTATCTCCTTTAATGGGAGGCAAAGACAAGGTCTCTTTCTCCAACTGTCCGCGTGCTGCAATGGAGATGCAGAGGAGTTACAGAACTAGGAGATTCTTTGCTCTATATAAATTAAGCTGACGCGTCTGCCGCGCTTGGAACTCGCTCCCTGCCATTTTTTAAAAGGGCGTGTACGTGTAAAAGAGGAAAAGAGCAGCTGAA